TCAAATATACAAAAATATTACATAATAAAATAACGAATACCTATATACACAACATTCATTAACAAGTGTATTTTCTTTTTTTTTTTTTTGAGACAGAGCCTCAAGCTGTCCCCCTGGGTAGAGTGCTGTAGCATCACAGCTCACAGCAACCTCCAACTCCTGGGCTCAAGCGAGTCTCCTGCCTCTGCCTCCCAAGTAGCTGGGACCACAGGCGCCCGCCACAACGCCCGGCCATTTTTTTTTTGGTTGCAGCCGTCATTGTTGTTTGGCGGGTCCAGGCTGGGGATTCGAACCCGCCACCTTAGGTGTACGTGGCTGGCACCTTAGCCGGTTGAGCTACAGGCACCGAGCCAACAAGTGTATTTTCTATTTTCCAAAATTTTCCCAATAAATGTGTTACTTCTATAATGAAGAACAAGATATACTGGGAGGGAGAACTAAAATAACTTGGAATTTTTTTTTTGTAAAGAAAAGAGTAACTTTCCCGCCACGCCAGGCTACCATAATTCACTTTTGCTTAAGATGTAACACATCCGTCATCTTCACATACACTTAGTTACTGCTGTCCACAAAGGTGGATGAGGCTCAACAGAGACTTCTTTTGAACGTATCTTTTATAAGTGAATACTTTCTTCCCTTCCTCCTTTGATGTTAAAGACCTGTAAAACTGTGATGGTAGTTAATAATTCTAGCAAATTCTTCTACGTATCTCCTCTCTCGTTTGCTCATGTTGCCCGTTTTATTCCGTTATCTATTTGAGGTAATAAATCTGCTCTTAGCTAAATGATACCTTCCTATTATTTAAGTCCTTTCCTATTATTGAAGTTTTAATTTCACAAAATTATTAATGGTGCTAGCAATGCCTTTCAGCTGCCTGTTCCACATGAATTTTGACTGACCCCGTACACCCATAGTCAACGTCGTGTGGTCACAAACCACTATTCTTTTAAGGGATTAGGTAGCTCAGGTTCTTTCAAATATAATTTGGCTGTATACCACCATCTGAACCTGAATGAGGCTGGTATACACAACCATGGGCAATACCTACGGCACAGTGCCTGCCCTCAATTCTGGAAGCAGGAGTTTCTCTAGCATGTTCAGATGCCTGCACACAGGGTTTCATTAACAGAGTGAATTGATTCTCATTCAAAAGTTTGAAATTACACTAATGCTATGTTCTTCCCCACACTCCTCAACCTTGAAATACTGGTTATAACTGAAAACAGCAGATTTCTCTGTCTTTTCCTCATGCCTTTGTTGAGCAATAGTGGACAGAATTCTGGCTCTTTCCTAACCGAAGTGTGTTCATGGTACTGCCTTTAAGGGTACAGCTCGTTGATGTACTGAAATTGTCAAACTGCTATATTTATATGAAGTTTGGAATTGAGGAATAATGTTCTGACTCCTTAAATCTAGACTCCTACAATACACAACTTGAAATGTAAATGAATCTTTCATTCACAAGATGAGTTTTTTTTTTAAAGAAAGTAGAATTTATAGAATCACTGAACTAAGCAATGTGCTTCTGAGAGGCCTGCAGAATTTCAAATGGTAATGTCTGTTTGGCATTTTATCATTCACAGCAGCCCCATCAGAAGTGGAAATCAATTTGCTTTCATTAACAAGTTCTGTGCTAGGCATAGTTATACAAGTCACAGCTTTCTTACTTCATTGAAAGTCTTTTTTTTTTTTTGAAGATGTAGATTATTAATTCACTACCTATGCACATTGTTAATAAACATTCTCAAGTGTTATAATGTTTGGAGATAAGTGATTACACGTTCATAGGTGTGATGTATATAAAAGGACACTTAGTGCAATAAAAAGAATTAAAAAATTGGAAATTTAAGTAAAGTCATGGGACTTGCTGTGCTTTTATCATGTGGGATAACTCTTGACTCTTTGTGAATAAGACAGGAAAAAGCACAAAAAGGTGACTTGTGGTTAACAATCCCCACTGTCTGCTCTCTTCCTATTGGCAAGTAATTAAGGTAATTCACCGTCCCAGGCTGAAATCCATACTCTCTGAAGCAAAATGGTCACATCTCTATGAATTTCACATTAGAAGCTGAGTCTATTTCCTTTGTTAAATGGTAGAATTTTCAGGACAGCAGGACACATAATAAAGTTTGGGAGGCAAATAGACTATTTTAACAAATCAGGCTTAAGAGCATTGCTTACCTGAGCTAAAGGGGACGGTCTACTGCTTCCTGAGTGAACAGATGTGCTAGGATCTCAGGACAATTTCTCTTTTTCTAGTCTCTTCCTCTGCCCTATTGCTTCTATTTTTCTTCACTAATTTTGCTCACTTATCCCATGATCCACTTGAGCTTATCAAAACTTGATTTAAATGACACCTCCCTATATCCTGTTTTAATTTTGTAAAGCCATTGGTGATACAAGTGATGCTACCACAATTAACACTTATTCTTCTTCCTTACCTAAAATTTAACAGATTCTGTCTGTACATGGATCTAATATTCCCACATATATTTAGAATATTAAATTCTTAACAGAATCCTTGGAATTGGCCATATTAGCAAAACTACCTGCAAAAGTGAAAAGCACTTGCAGACAGAGGCCCCTTGGTCTAGACAGTAGGCATTCCTAGTCTCTTGTTTGTAGTCGCAAGCACATTGCTAATAATCCTTTCTACAGTGCCCGTCCATGTTTTGCATTGCGGCTTGGAAATATTGCCTGTCGGTGCTCGAGGAGCAGAGGTGTAGCACTCCCACTGGCTCTCCTCTTTGGGGCCTACCTTTGCCATTCCACCCAACCCTGTGCTGTGTTTCCGCCTGTGGTGAAAGACCAAGGCTGGCTCCAGCACTATAGCACTTCACATGGAAGCCAGAGGAAGCATTGGGTGAGGCGGTTCATTAGACATGAATAGGGTGGACAGCGGATGTGGTTAGGCTCTTTTGGACTGGTTTGGGTCAGGCTGACCTGGGCTATTGTAGGAATACATCTAATTGCTAACCAAGACATTGTAGGTGGGTTATTTGGGAAGATGTCCTTGTGACTTTCTAACATGAACAGATAGATATGAGCTGTTATGGGAACAGATCCTGGGAATTTCAAAGAAGCAGCTAACACCCCGCAAACACTGTGTATAAAATCCAAGAACAGCATTCCCATACTACCTGCAGCATCTAGCAGGAGGCCTAGCCTACTCTCCAGGTCATTAAAACAAACATTTCCTTTCTTACTGAAACTCGACTTGCTCTTGTTCTCTCTAATTATTTCAGTAACTAACTCCATCTGTCACGATGGTCCCTAAACAGATGTAGGGGCAGCAGCCAGGTACTGAGAAACCAGACCATCATCTCTATGTCCAAAATGTGCTGCTCTTGCAAAGGCTGATGAGGCAATACAGGCCAGGAATCAGAGAACAGATAATTTCTTTGGCTTCTGGGTTCTTTCTACATTGAGTTAGCCAAGGTGAAAAGTACACCAATTCCTGCATCCATTATTAAGAAGTTACCTGTAACCTGAAGTAGTCCGTATACTTTTATTTCAAAAAGTACTCATCTACAAAAATTTACTACTGCAATTTAACTTATATTGAGTTGCCTAATGGAGCTCCAAGAGGGAAACTCAACGGGAAGCATCCAGGGGACTACAGTCACCCTGGAGGATGGCATAAGGTTGTTCCCTCATCAAGCATACATCCACAGGCTAAATTTTTCAGCCCCTCCTTTTTATAAAGCATGCAGGGTTTTGGCTACCCTGACCATTTTCTTCAACTTTGTGTTCTGATGAAGGTAAACCTTTGCTTTAAAAATAAGCAATTTTAAAAAATGGTCTAACCTCATTGGAGTTAGAACAACAACAAAAACCCCTCATATTTATGATGGTTATATAGCCCCATGGAAAAGGTTGAACATTTCCTTCCATTGGAAAGCAGCTCTGCTCAGCACTGTACCACTAACAGCAATCATCTCTTTTAATTGAAGGGATACAAGTTACCATATCTAGGTACACGTAAAACAGAAAATATGCAAAACATAATAGACCATGTACTATGTTTTCAGTTCAAAATAATTCACTGCGAATGTCTAGTTGAATAAATCTGTAGTGTATCATACTGTGAGTTTCCATGCATATAGAACAAGAGAAACTTGCCAACAATTTGGGACACATTCCTGCAACCAAACTTTAACCCCCTAAACATTTCAGTTCAGCTTTTTACTTCGTTCATCACCATAAAGTATTAAGACAGTGCCACTCAGTTGTTTATTTTTAGCTCCCTCTACCATTCATCATTGACATTCATTTGGTATAAACAAGCTTTAGTTGAAAGAAAGAAAAATAGAGCTAGGCTTGTCTTAACATCATTGTACCAAATGCCTCTCTGCAAGAATAGGAATTTTCCTCTGTTGAAGCACTTAATATACTTTATTTTAAGAAGCAAGCATATTTTTCTTATCCTCACTGTGTCTCCCTAGTAAAAAACCTGCATTGGTCAGTGAGATTTAGTACAGGTAATATTTTAAAAGATGTGTGATTTGGCTATCTTTTCTTCCCTCCCTCCCATCTTTCCTTCCTCTTTCTTGCAGATTATCATAAGCAGATTATCATAAAGGAACAGGAAAATAGAGAACAAATCTATGTTTTCCCAAAGGAGCGACAGATGTACACATTCATGCGCTGATTCATTCACTCGCTTTATAAGATGAGAAACTACATTCTTTCCACATTGGTGTCATTGAACATAATAAACCGTTAAGCTCATAAAAATGGCTAGATATTCCTATAAAGACTTCCAAAATTTGAAGGAGAATTCCATTTCTTTTTCTTCCCCATCCCACTGCAGATTTGCATAAAGAACTCATTTCTTTTCAGACTGTTGCTTGGGCAAGTCTCAGTAATATTAAAATAAAAAAGCAGGATGAAAAATGGTGCTAAGCAGAGTAAGAAATCTGACTCTCAAGACACTAACTGCTGGACTCTAAGACTTGCATCAAAGAGTTGATTACAGATAAAATGCGTGTGCCTCTTACCTGGGGTTTGAAAGTTAAGGCGCCTCAGTTCCACGGGGTCTGTGGGGTGGTGTGACGGGACCTCCTTACTGTTCGGTATGCTGCTCTTTCTAGAGTCTGACTCTGCTCTCTTCCTACAGGGAGCAAATAAAAATTTAAGAGTAAAACAAAAACCGACTGAAACATAAAAAGATAGAAAGTTGTATATGTGCTTTTGTGCCTGCCCCCATTTTCAGTTTAACAATTTTTTAACCTGGCTGGCTTTGTGACTTTGTTTCCTCAGGTCTAAAGGTTTTTTCAAGCAAAGTCCTCTTGAACTCTTGTTTAAGTGAAGACCTCCTCTTGAAGACCTCCTTCAACTCTGGAGTTAATAATTCAGTGATTCTGCCTTTAGGCTTTAAGGGGGTCTTGGTGAGATACGCTTGGACCTTTGTTGATCGATTCTTTCTTACCTACTGTTTCGGTTTGTGAAGGACAGGATAAGATATCCCTGGTAGCCAATACTAACACTTTTGTTAGCATAGTGAAACTACCTGGCCTCCAGCTGAATAGCTAAATTGATCTCCGCCCCCCAAGCCCTTTTCAGGTATATATGACTGGTGGTTGCAAAGTGGCTCGGCATTAGATTTTTCCATAAAGCAGGTAAATATGTGCACCATAAGTACATTTCTAAGATGTCAAGTTATCCTAACACCTACAAGGAGAATTGGGACCACACAAAACCAACATCCCCTTTCTCTTATGAGTTTGAAGGAAAAAATAGTGCTGGCTGTTTACAGTGTTAAGCTGTGATTAATATTTTATTAATGAAAATTAATCATAGAAAGGTCAGAGAAAAAGTAATTTCACCTAGTGGGTAGATCAACACTCCCGATAAACACACACAGTGCTGTTAACAGTGCCTTCTGTTATAAACGCAATTCTTCACACAACGCAGCTTATCTGTTTTAAAAGCTACCCACTAGCTTTATTAAGCCCCCCTTTTTTAAGCTATCTTAAAGTAATTTTTAAAAATTTCTAAGAAGAAATGTCAGATTTGTACGTAAGAGTCATCTATTTTTTTTTCAAACCCAAATCATCACTGAGGGGTAACAATCTATCTTCTTCCTTCTTGAATTCAGTTTAAAACTCATTAAACCCATGGAAGCTGTTTTCAAATGGTGCTTTTTTCCCCCAGATATAATTCTAGCAATCTCTATGTTGGAGTCATAATTCTTGCTTCTCACCCCTGCTCAAAGCAAAGGCATTTTTATTTGGGGGAAAGGGCGCTGTGTTTAGAACGCTCCGCTTCTCTGTTTGATATGACTGTGGTATATTGCTCGTTAGTGTTGCTGTGGCAATGGGCGCTCATTCAATGCCACCCAGGTTGTTCTATGGTTAGCCAGAAGGCTCCTGTTAAATAGCTTTTCTTCCCATTTCTGCTCAACTGTATAAACTAAAATTAACCAGGGGATGAAGGGAAGATTGATGCAAAGGGGAAGTGTACTTGATTTGCTCAAGTGCAATGCCTTTGGCAAAACATCGCTAATGGAATAAATTTTCTTGGGTGAGTCCTATTAGACACCTTGCTTTCCAGTACCTTGGATTAACCCCTCTTGGGATTCCCTCTTTCTATCCTATTTAAATTGTCAGCTGTAGCCTTCGGACAGAATGTACTGCCAAGCCATACCACCAGTCAGAGGTGAGCAGTGACTTTGAGACGTGCCAAAGGTCCTGGCAGCTCCAGTCATATGGAATAGAACAGGAATACAAAGGAAAGGAAAGGAAGAGATGGAGGGCTGGTGGGAAAGACATGAGGAAGAATAAAGAGTGGGGCTCAGAAGACCATGGGAAAGAAGGAGATGAGAACCAGTTCAGAGCAGACAGCCGCTAACTTCATGCTATGGGTATTTGCCTCATCACACTGAGATTCATTTCACTTGCTGAAGATCCAAAATGCAAATAGGTTAATGAAATGTCTCTAAATGTGACATTTCAAGTCAATCCATCCTGCATGAAACACATGGTTGGTCTTCTAGCTTCCAATAATTCTGGTGGCTCACCTTACGTTTTGGTCCTTGTGCGTAAGTTGGGAGCGATGAGTTTCTTTACTGATGTGGCAGTCCTGATGACTAGTGCCTGCATTTTTCTCCTTTCTTAGGTGGCTCTACTAACCAGATAGAAAGGCTCAAATCCTAACCAGATAGAAAAGCAGAATTACAACTATCTGGGCAAGAAAACTACTTCAGTCTTGGAGGTACTGTGGAGAAACCTCCTTATCTTCTTTTTCCCTGAGGCTGGGCTGAGTGACACAAAGCCGGAGCAATAAAAAAGAACTCTGTCTACAGAAACGTTGCCAATTTCTCCGGTAATGGGGAAGCTGGAAATCACATCTTGTTACCAAGACATAGGAGTCTCAGAAAATCCAGGGCATAGGATTAACATGAAAATTCAAAATGGAAATGAACTGGGAAGGGTATGCTGATATTTAAAACCTAATTTCCCCTTCCCTGTTAGTTCACATGAAGTGACCTCTAAGGCCCCAGACTCCCAAATCATAACCAGGTAGAAAACTAGCTGTTTAAATTGGCTTTGCTTAGATTTGTTTAATGATTGCACCATGGATAATTCTGGCCTGTCTACATTCTTATCACATTATTTTTAAACATTCTTGTGTTAGAATAATTCTTTTTTAATGTACAAAAAAAAAAAAAAGCCTAAGAAAGATCTGGAAGATGAAGAGTTGGTCATCATTGGTAATAATGGTAAAGAACTTCCAAAAATTGGAGCAACTGACCTAAAATATTAAAAGACATAATGGCCTAAGTCAGGCCCAACATGAATATAAGTAGTAACATTTTCCTGCTAAGTTTTCAGAGGTCATCCTCATTTTTAATTACAAGAGTGCAATGAATAAGGACTAGAAACAAATTCTAAATTTTGCCTTGTGACATGACATTTTTTCTATTTAAGATCATGAAACCCTTATACAGTACAAGTTTTTTTTCTTGCAGTGAGATGTATTTGCCATGTGCAGGAGTTACTTGGGCGGAAAGGAAATGGAAGATCACGTGACATTTCAGACCTGGCAGAAACTTCTAATAGTATAAAAGCACCTGGTTATTAGGGATATGGGAATTGTACAATCAAAATGTTCCTCTGTGGTCTACAGAGTGTTTTATTTTCACTTCTTTCACCTGGCTTTCATTTAGGGTTGGAGGAAAGCAAGAACAAAGAGAGGTAGTGTGGAAGATCATATGTATGGTCTTGGAACAAAGAGATTCGGACATATGGGCACAGGTGTTGGAAAGAAAGATGTTAAGTAGTCAAAGAAGTCACTTCCAATGTTGCACAGTTCTGATTCTGAGAACATTAATCATGTAATCCCTACTCTGTCACTATTGGGGTCTGGCAACCACAGACCTTCTCATCGTTTATAAAATAGTGGAGGATGAGAAGATGATGGGTAAGTTTGGCCTGGCTCCGTCTTCTGTGAAATGTGGAAGTGATATAAGGGAAGGTAGACCTCTGAGGATATTAGGTGGATTCAAAGTGTTTTGTCTTTTGCCCTAAAAAAAAAAAAAAATTCAAAAAATTTTGTACGTTGTCTTCTGCTGGGTTAATAGCAACCAGAACTGTCCACATAACACAAAAGACACCCTCACAGAGGTTTCAGGATTCTTATCACTGAGCAGGTGGCTTGCTGACTGATGCCAAGGGATTTTAGAGAAATGTGGTAGCAGTTCTCAAACTTGCAAGCATCAGAATCTCCTGGGAAGGTCTGTTAAAACATAAGCTGCCGGACCAACCCTGATTCCCTGGTAGGTCTGAGGTGGGGCCCAAGAATTTGTATTTCTATAAGGTTTCCAGGTGATGCTGATACTATCGCTGCTGGGAGAGAGGCTACTCAGTGAGAAGCACTGAGAACCACTCGTGAGACAATGTCGTGAGGAAGGCAGGTGATCTCTGAGATTAGTTTACTTTTAATCAAGTCCTTATACATATGTGTAAATATATTTATATGTGATAAGCAAATATGTGACTATGTGCATCTGTGAGTTAGTAAACGAGAAGACGTACTAATCCTTCAAGATCACACAGTACATATTCTAGCTATTATTATCACTGCCATTATTATTCGAGGCTGGAAGACACAGTTAACAATTCTGAATGAGGTATTTTCCTGAAGCATTGCCATCAATATTTGCAGGGTGTGAAAATGTCCGTATTCCTTCCTGTATCACGAGGCAATCGTGACTAAACTTGAAGACTACTCTTTACTAAAAACAAACAAAACAAAACAGAAGGGGTTATGGGACACCTCACACTTCTGCTCTCTAAACACATTAACACATACAGATGCTCATTTCTTCTTGACCACAAACACAACTCAGAGACTGGTTTTACTAACTTGGAAATTTGATGATAAAAGGAATGTTTTCTTTTCTTTTCTTTTTTTTTTTGTTTCTGATGGAGACAAAATATTTCTTTTTATTTCCCCCAGAATCACTGTCTAATAGTATCAAAACTTTCGTATGCATGTCGGCTTCATCCATCTTCCTCTTGCCAGTATTTTTATCATGTGTATCCAGCCCCCACCCTCACCTCTTCAATAGCTCCAAAGTCTACCAGTTTCTTATTTTTTTCTTACTGAGCATTAAAGAGGTGTGTTCTCTCTTCCTCACCTGTCAGGTTTACTGCTCCATTTTAATGCAGCAAAAGGGAAAAAGAAAGGCTAAATGTTAGTTGGCCAATGGTAACAAGAGTAACCATGACAACCAAGTTTTAAGAAATACGCTCACAAGCAAGGACACGTAACTGACACACATTAGGAAATGACAGAGCATCAAAATATTTAAAGGCCTCTGCTCAGGAAGTAAATGAAAGACATAAGGTTACACCATGCAGTAAAAAATGTGTGTGTGTGTGTGTTCGTGCCACATTCACTTTTAGCCATCACCTACAATGTGCCACCGCAATTAATTTTACCCCAGGAAGTGTTTGATAATAGCGATATATAAGGTAGCCATCAAGTTTGTGTGCAATTTAAAATAGTTGCACACGAACTTGATGGCTGTCATTTCATTTTTACAAAACAAGCCATGAGAAAAGTACTAACGTACTTAATGGGAATACAATGTCATTCCACAAAAGA